GACATGCTGTGGGAAAGGAGTGAGCGGAGTGCGAGAAGGGAGAGAGTGGAAGGGGGACAAGCTTACACGCTGCAGGGTAAAGAGATTGCGATGATGAAGATGGGCAAAAAGAGAGGAGAGGTCAGCGCAGGTCCAACCCGTTTCACCACGTCTCAGGGGCCGCAAGTGAGAGCGATGGATTTCCGAGGGCCAGACGCACTTGTAAGGCTGTTTGCGCCCACGCAAGGGAGAGAGTAGAGAGAGGAGGAGATGTCAGTTCACTTCGCGGCTCTCCGTGGCAGCCCTGTCTACGGTACGGCGCAGATGCGGGGGCGCGCACGCGGCTACTCACCATCTATGTTTTTGTGCGTTTGCCAGCGAAGGAGGGGGCAGGCAGGCAAGTGAGAAGAGGAGAGGAGGAGGGGGGAGGGGGGGGGGAAGAAAAGGAAGGAACAACGAGCAGATTTGGGGCCAGAAGTCGTCAGCCTGTCGTGTTCCTTTGCGCCTGCCCGGCCTCCCTCGCTTCCCCCACAGTCTTGCTTCCGCCTTTACGCACCGAGAAGTCGGGCACCGCCACCTCAATGAGTGCCGGGCGCGTGTAGTACCACTTTTCCCTCCTATGCCTTGCCCTCTCGTCTGCAAGCTGCACAATGATGGCCGGCGGCACATCAAAGCCGCGATGCGCGTCGGGCGGATGTTCCTCGTACCTCAAGAAGGCCTTGTCATACGCCATCTCCAGGCGCACGCTGGCCGCCGGCGGGATGCGCAGCTTGAGTTCGAGGCGAAACGGCCTTGCGCGCGGCATGGCCGGCGAGTAGCTGGCGCCGACGAGGGGCGAGGCCGATTCATCGTCGGCGAAGCGCACCAAGTCGGGATGGGAGAATTCGGCGAGCTCGACGCGGGAAGAGAGGGTGTGCAGGTAGGGACGGATATACCATGGCAGCGCATCGTAGTAGAGCAAGTCGAGCGCATGCACTTCGTTCGTGTTGCGCAGCTGCAGCGAGAAGACGCCGCGCTCTTGACCGGCGCCGCGAAAGTCGCGCGAGAAGAGCAGGTCGGGAGATGTGTAGTTGCGAGCTATGCATCAAAAAGGAGGCAAAATCAAACGTCAGTCAGAGGAGCAGGACCGAGCAGGACCGAGCTCTGTGTGTGCGTGTGTGTGTGAGAGAGAGAGAGGTGGCGACGTACGGTAGGAGAAGACGGCCTCCGTCCAGTCCATGCCGACATTGAGCGGCAGCTCAGCGCTCAAAGCATCGTACGTCACGCGTCCATGTTTCGTCAGATGTTGAGCGGGCGTCAATGGCGCGGCGGCGGCGTCGGCGGCATCGGCGTCGTCGTCAGCGATCTCCTCATCCTCCGGCGACAACGCCGGCGCTTGAGCAGCGAGGGCGGGATAGAGCTTGAACTTGGGAGTGAAGAGAGCCTCGCTCGCGCCGTCGTCGTCGTCGGCGTCGTTGTGATTGCTTGGTGCAAAGGAGGCAGCGTCGAGAGGCGCGTGTACGACGATGGACGAGGATGTGGCCAGTGGACACACGCGCTGCAAAGGTCGAGAGAAGAGCTTCTCGAGTGACCAATCTGTGGGTCACGCCGCCGCATGGCAGTACGTCAGCCACGCCGGCGAGGTGGCCCGGGGGGGGGGGGGGGAGGGGGGGGGGGGGGGGGGGGGGGGGGGGAAGGGGAGAGGGGGGGAGGGGGGGGGGCAAGACAATTCTCACTTCTGCGTCCCTTGAAGCGTCCCACATGCGGCGCAAAGACAATCTGCACTTTGAGTTGCACGGTCCACATCTCCTCCTCTGCAGCGTGATGCTGTTGAGCTTTCTTCTTGTCCTGCTCTGCCTCCTGCTCCTGGCGCTGGTGGCGACGCATGTAGATGCGCATGCCGACGTATTGCGCCTCGGCCATGCGATGCATGTCAAGCAGACTGGCCAGGCCGGCATGTGCGCCGCACGGCAAGAGGGAGAGCAGCGGCGCGAGGTTTTCGGTGCATACTTGCTCCGAGGGCAGCAGGGCGTGGAGTGTTGTCGTCTTGTTGCTTGAGTTGCCAGAGCTGCTGGCGGCGCTTGCAGCGGCGTTGCCGAAGGAGGAGAAGAGAGGCAGCAACTGAGGCATGACTAGACTGGGCGACGAGAGCGAAGAGAGGGTGGTGCAGAACAGGCCCGCCAGAGAAGAGGTGAGCTTGCTCCACGAGACGAGTGCGGCCGCCGAAGGAGCGCGCGCGGCATGCGACGAAGGTGAGGGACTGTTTTTTGAGTCGAGTTTTTGCGCCGCGGGGGTGGAGAGGAGAGG